CAACTATCAATTGGCAGAGAAAATACTAGTCAATTAATTGTATACATCTTCATTCCTAATAGTAATGGATATAAGCACTTTGGTCGCCTAGGCTGGTTAAGTTGATTTAAGGGTTGACAGTCAACATTTACAAGAATAAAATTAAATGTAGAAAGAATCATTTATTGGTTCATGAATTTGACTGAGTACATTTCTTATCCAAGAACCAATCCACGTATATGAAAATAATATTTCCCTTGTGAATCATGTATTTTTTCGCACCATTAGTAGTTAAACACTACGTCTAGAATAGGAACGTAGACACCCTAAGTCGATTAAGGTTATTTAAGAATTGGTAGTGGAGTTTGTTCACCGGTGATATGAATGGGAAACTCTCCATTATCAGTCTTTAAGTTAAATAGAGTAAGTTCTTTTTAGAGCATTACTCAAAGTTTCTAAACATACTCAAACCGAAGAAGCAGCAAGTCTAGCTTCATCCGTGCCCACAGTAGTGAGCTTAGTGATTACCAATGCCCCTAGGGATCAACAATCTCAACTGGTTAATAAGAAAAACCGAAACTAATGACTCAACTGCCCAATATGGGCTCCTGATAAAATTTAGCGTTAATCTTGTACGTTTTATTCATTAAATGAAAATTTTAATTACATAATTCGGATCTTATATAGTGGGCGAGAATTGAGCAGTCACAAAATAGCCGACTTTGCTATTCCCACAAGGCGGCCCAGCCTCTCGCCCGTAGGACTTTTAGTTGAATTTTCGCATCACTTATCCTTGCTTCCCAACATCTATTCGTATTCGAGTTTCGATTCCACTTCACCTCAGGTGTCAAAAGTACAGTCATCAACATGAATGAAAACACCTTTTTGAAGGCAGGAATAAGTGAAACTCAATGGCATATCATTGTGGACAAACCCATTTATCACCTTATAACGAATAGCCTCGAATCATAGTTGCTGTGACTACTAAAAATATTACTCAATTTTTGCGTCCTAATCTTTTCCCGTAAAGATACAAGAAGACACATTGGAGGGTATTTCCTTTTGGAGGATTCACTTGGCAATACAGTTTGCTCTTCTCGCTTTTTTCACGGCATCTCCTTTTGAGCTTGCGACTTGTTCTCTGACTGATTCTTCTGATCTTCACAATTGTTGGATGGTTCTAAGTGATTCAATAATGAATTTCATTTTAAATGCCTCAGCTCCTCAGGAGGCGGAGCAACCTTTACTTTTTGCATCTGATTATTTTACAATTTCAATTTAGCTCTTAGTCATCACCCTAATTCAATGCAAGGATTGTTGGTTGAATGCCTTTTAATGGGCTTTATTGTCCCAAATCTCAATTATAGCAGGAGTGTAGCTGAGGTGAACATGTATTTTCTGTTGCAATCAACGACGCTTTGAAACATTCTAGTGTAGAATTTCAATTTGGATGCACGATAATACATGTGTAATCTCGGCTTACAATGAATTCGCTTGTGCAGGGTGGTCAGCTAATACAATTACGCTGACATGCATATGTATGTTGGTATTCGAGTTGGTGCGTCCGTCCGTAGCAGTCGAGGGGGCTGAGATGCCGTGGAAAGTCTGAAGGGGTAGGGTCAAATGCAAAGACTCGTCTACTAGGATTTTCATCGGTGGGCACTCGTTTTACTGCAAACTGGCGGTGGTGTCTGTTGTTAGTACACGATTCGTGCCACAGCCGACTAACAATTACCCAAAATCAGTCAGAAGTGGGACAAAGTTGAGGGGTCGGAGGGGATTGGGGAGCTGTGCACCAATCAGAACTTGGAGGACAGAGGCAATTGTAAACGCGCTAGCGACAAGATGACATTGGGGCAAGTGTGGCTTCTTCGGTCGTGGTGGCGACGCAGAAGCTGAATAAACTGGAGCCAGGGCCAAAGATATGTGAAGTCGTCCGGACGGGTTAGGTTTCATATTCTGGACGCCGTTGCAGGAGGTTTATCTGTTTATTTATTTCTGCAAGCATGACTTGGCCGACCGCTGCAAGAGACACAGTTAAACACGTCAAAGTAGGTCGGCTGGCACGAGAATGTCTTGGTGAAGCCGACTATTGGTAGAAAAGAGGGGCTGGACCGGGTTGTAGGCACGAGGTGATCTGTACACTTGACGATGTGGCGGTCCGGCTCACCTGTCACAATGACTTCGAGGCAAATTTGGGGGGAATAAGGTGTGGGCAGAGGGAGAGTGGACGAGAATTGGCCGAGGTGAGACGAGGACCGGGAAAGGGAAAAGTGGGGCCGAGGCTCGAGGAAGAGGGGAACAGAAATGCTGGCCCAACGAGGGAGTGATGAGCGGCGAAAGGACGCAAATGCACCCACTTTCCAGCTGATTGGTGTGGCTACAGTTCACAAGAGCTCGGTCCGTGCGCCAATTTTGTCCAGTCACAGTCTGCCCGGGTGGACAGAACGGCATACAACGAGCGGCACACGCGATGCAGCTAGGGCTGGCGGAAGAGGGAAACACACACGGACGCAGTGGCTTTGTTCCTGTCCGTGCACAGTAAATATATTCTGGCCAGGACCGATATGATCCGAGTGAGTAACACACTGAGGCAGCGAGAAACGGCGCGCTTTTGTGAGCCTGCGCGTGTGAGTACGTGTGTGAGGAGGATTTCGCCCAGGGATAGAGAGATGCGGTAAACAGGACAATAGGCGTATATAATAGCCAGCCCATCCGATTGTACCAGCCAATGTGACTGTGCCACAATTCACAATCGACCTTTTCTTTCGGATCGTATACACACACACAAATTCACCAAATACCAACAAACGCACATGCACACACATAAATATATATTTATATTTATACACGGATACTAACTCACTTTCATATCAGTTTCCCTCGAGTGTGTGCTAACCTACGACTGTTGTGCCGACCGGTGACGACCTGGTAAGTATGCTGTAGTTTGGGAGAGTTATCCCATTTTAACAATGATAACCTGTGCTGAGATTATCTTTCTGGTAGTCCTAATAGACCGTGTCAAGAAAAACAGAACATTGTCCGCATTTATGGTCGGCACAAGACATGCGCATCTTTATGGGAATTAAAGGAGCATGAACCTAAATACAAGT